AACCATAGTTTGATCTCATCGTAATGTAATTAAGTTTAGACGTTATACTAACTTGTAAATAGTAAATGCCGTTTGTTAGTTAATTAGGAACATTTTGTGCTAGAAATCATGATACAACAACAATATTATGTTCATCTGTAATCTTGTAATTTCGTTGATTCCCATCAATGAAATGATAGATTTGCATGTTATCATTAGTACTCGGAGTATTTACATGTTTAGCTGATTAGCTCGACATTAAAAGCTACGTACCTTATAAAGTTATAACGCGATGGTAAGTTGGTAACAACTAACTAAAAAAAACCAGCTAAAGTAAAGTACTTATATTACAATAAAGATAGACAACTGGATTTTAAACCGATTTTATTTATCAATAATATACACTACAAATGGTGGTTAAATTAATATATAAAAAAAATATCTTGGACGTATAAGAAATGTGTCAAAATAAAAACAAAATATCCATTGAATGTTTTATCAATTTGTCGGTCCATTGAGAAAAACATTTTATCCTATGGACATTTTCATTCACAAATTTTTTTTTTCAAGTGAGGGTCGTTTCCATTCACATTGCGACAAAATACAATTCGTTATGTATCCTTTTTAGATTTTTGTTGAAGATCGACGGTCCTAATTGTCTTAGACATGATGACATGCAAAACTACACCATGAATATATGTGTGTTTTGTAGTTGTATCAGGATAAAACAACGGTTGAGATCTACTGTTTTCATCCCATCATATAGATTCATGGTTCTCATTTGTCCAATCTGAAAGACAGACCAAAAAGCAAAATTATAGGACCTCTTTTTTCAAATTTTGTTTTTTCTAACATCTTTCCCACTCTAATCTCGTTTTTAATTCATTTTTTTATTTATCTTTAGGGATTAAAACACTCCCTAAAACCCCTTCTCGAACCCGCTAAATAAGCATCGTATTAAAAACTAAAGATAATGATTTGATGTTCCTTGTATTTCGGATTTTCGTGTTCCGTTCAATCTATTGGGAAATCTAAATGCCTTGAATCCCAGTTTAGTCCACCAAAATCATTTAATTGGCGTGTGATTGCCACGCGCTTCAGTCACACAAGACGACAAAAACTCAAGCCCATTCCCACATTCTATCTAATGGGCCCGCCCGTTTGAAAATAAAAAAAACAAGCAAAGTATTTGGAGCGGCCGAATTTTTAATATTTTTTCCCAATAGGAAGATTTAAAAATGACAAGTCAAAGAAAAACATGACAAATTACAAATGGAGATATGCAAACAAAGACATCTAATAATATTTTTCTATTTTCGTTCAAAAGTGATTAAGAAAAACAAATAACGACACAACAGTTGAGTTAATAGAGTCGTTAAAAACCAGTTGAAAATTGGGTTGATGGTAGAAATCGATTTATTAATATCCAATTAATGTTTTTCTTCAAATTTTTAAAAGCCACATATGATATGATAAGTTAGTCGTACGTTTAGTTGATAGTATATTATTGGTTTCTACTTTTCAAAAACATTTTTTTAAAATTGTTTTTTTTAATTTAAGAAGAAAAATACTTATACTTTTGTCTCCTTTTAACTTTTTGAGGGAATCCCTATACAGAGAGAAAAAAGCCTCTAGGCGATTTTCTCTTCACCGCAGCTCCCTCGTCGATTTCAGGTCGGATCGGTGTCGGTGGCTCCGTTAGCACCGATGCCGGTCCCCATGTTTCGTTTTTCCTCCTTTTTCCGTTTTTAGTTTATAGTTTCGACCTTGGTGAGAGCTTCTCCTCCGGTGGATTGAGATCTGTTTCG